GCAGTTTGAATTCCAGTCGGGCGAGTTCATGTCGCAGCTCTCCCTGTGGGGCAATGGGGCCGGCACGCGTCTGGGTGCCATCAAGTTCAGAACGAGCCGCAACCGTGAGTTCTTTGCCAAGATGACGGACTGGAAGCTCCAGACAGAGTACAAGATCGACGTGGGCTCTGGCATCTGCTTGGGCGTTCAGGGCCGAGCGGGGGCCGACATCGACTCCATGGGTTTCCTTTTCATCAATGCTGTAAAGTCGTCGGTGATCCAGAACATGAAGTACCCAACTATGCACCAGGTTCTGCCTAACGTGCAGATGGAGGAGATTAAAGAAATGGAGTACACGAACAACACCAGCGTCATGCAGTCTTACACGTTCGAGAGTTCCAAGAAGATAACCAAAACGTCATCGTGGTCTACGACCAACAAGATCGAGTTCACCTTCAGCCTGACCGTCTCGGCAGGCATCCCTGAGGTCGTGGAGGTGGAGACCGGGTTCAGCTTCACCTTGAGCTCGGAGACCACGCACGCATTGGAGGAGTCTGAGGAGCGGATGGAAACTCTCACGTTCCCTGTCTCGGTTCCTCCGCACAAGACCGTCACTGTTGTCGCCAAAATCGGGCGTGCAAACATCGACCTCCCGTACACGGCCCTGCTGCGCATCACCTGCATGAACGGCGCTCTCTTTGACGTTCCCCTGCGTGGCGTCTACAAGGGGCTCACCTACACCAAAATGACCGCCCGTGCTACTGAGAAATAGAGCTGTGTGTTGTACCCTTTTTGATCAAATGTTCTGAAAGAATTATTGTGGCTAACTACAAATAAAAGCCTTCTGCATTGCACTGCAATTTTCTCTTCGCATGTTTGGTTGCATATAAGGAATTTCTATTTTTTTACGAGGTTCCAATGTTTATGGACATGGATATTTCACCATTTGCTGTTGGCAGGGATTTTTTTTTTTTGTAGTTTGAACTTCATATCATTCTAGATTTGAAGGTTTCGTGGCTGCAAGGATCCATACTCGGTTTTTTTTATGGTTTTTGTTTTTCACTGATTTTTACCGAATGAAGCAAAGAATATCGAGCTTCATATCCTCCATTTTGCATGGCCATTATTGAAACGGTGGGTTAGTGGCATGGTATGTTTTACAACTAGAAACAACAGGTTCCACACTTCCCACCAGGGATTATTTGTCTGTCGTGCACGAATGGGCTATCCAACCAAGTTCCTACCTGCCCACTCCGAAGAAACGTGTTTTTTGAATTGATTGGTCCACACCAGAGACTTTTTTTTTAGCCTAGTCTCGGTGTTAGATCAGAGGACGCCAAAAGGGGGAAACATTCTTATGTTGACACTGGCAAAGGAGGTCTCGTGAAAATAGACTTCTGTTTTTAGTTCGCATGCCACAATCCACTACTCTGCTCATCCCCCCCCATGTCCTATTGAACCAGCACTGAATACAAAACTTACACAGACCTCCTGTTAGCCAACGTTTTCAATTCAAAACCGCTATAATAATGTGGCAATTAAAAAATATTTAGGTGTAATAATTTGTCATTTTCATTCATTGGTTCTAAGAAAATGACAAACTAAGACGTTAAATTCCTGCAGTCACGATAGTTTTAAGTCCACTGCTGTCATCTCGACCAAATCGCGGAACCAACTCGCGCCAAACGCACAAACCAAAGGCAGCCATTTTGTAAGTTTTAACCATTAACACTTAAACCATTATTAACATATTCAACAAGCTACACGAATAACGATCTTTATATTTCGTCATTTACCTTTCAAAACGTTACTGCCTTCCCGTCGCTATATGCGCACACATTTACCTCAGAATTTTCATAAATTTATGAACGCTCCGTTGAAATGTTTATAAATGAAACTCTGACCAAAACTATCACGTTACCATACATAGCAGGCGTGACCAAAAAGATCTCAAATTCTAAACAAACATTAGATCCAAGTCCGATTCAGTACAGTGCATAAAATCCGTGATCTGATTCCATCTGTGAAGGATGTCGTTCCTGACTTACAGTATCCTGGAGTCTACAAATGGAGTTGCATTTGTGGTGATTGCTACATTGGAGAAACGAAACGTCATGTTGCTGATCGTGTCCGCGAGCACAAGTCAGATCTGAAACACGGCAGAACTGATTCTTCGGCCGTTGCCGATCATTGCTACAACTCGGTGGGTTCTCATGAAATTGTCTTTTCCGAGACCAAGGTTCTCTGCAAACCTCCTGGCTAACATCAAAGGTTTGTACACGAAGCCATACAAATATACAAACACAGACATAATTTCAACCGTGATCATGGGTACAAACTTAGTAATCATTGGAAAGATGTTATTAACCACGCAAAACAGACTTAATTACACTTTTTTGGACCATCTTATCTGACAGGTACTATCTTACTTTACTTTACCGAGTGTTTAACAGTAATCTCTTCATTGTTCAGGCAGCATTGGTATAAACAATGGCATTTCCGTTCTTTTGTGTCATTGTTTCAGGCCTCCCCCTCCCCCCTCTCTGCCCAATGCGTTGGCGTGTGCAGCAGTTTGTCTCTTGCGCACAATCGCTTCCACGCTGTCGCCCACCCTTTTGACCCCGCCTCCCTCCCTCCCGATACGTTCCATTCATTGGCTACCACATTCTGATGAACTCCCCCCCCCCTCTCCTCCCCCCCCCCAACTCGCTTTTAAGGGATTACATTATGAATCATTGCCTCACTTGATGCAGCTAATCTGGCTGTGACGGTCCCACCTGATGACGGAGACTTGTGTTGCCTCCGAAACGTCGTGATCTTTATTTTATTTTTATTAATTTTGATGTTTTACCTACGTGACTTTACCGAAAAAACCTAAGAATACGTGCAATTCATGTTCAGGGGCTGGTGGGGGGCTCTCTCTTCAGTGCTGGCCCCTGAACATGAATCGCACAGGCAGGGGATGTCTTATGGCGGCCACACTTAATGTTGCCACGCGCCGCTCTGCCGTCCAATGGCGCCGAGTCCCTCTGACGCGTCGCGCGCCAGACCACGCCCCCGCCCCCACCCCGCCCCACGTGATGACCCGTGGGGGGCGGGGCTTCGCTCTGCCGCGTCACGCGCCAGATGCGGCAAATCTGAAACTTGCAGATTTACCGCGTCGCCTGACAGCTGATGACGCCGGTTGCAATTAGTGGCGAAAAGTGGTGCTCAGATTGTAAATGTTGTTGTTTTACTCTCCAATATACTGGTGTGCTGTACTAGTACACTACACTATACACTGCACTGAACACCTACACTGCTATACACTACACTATTTACTACACTGCTATACACTACACTACACACTACTATACACTACACTATACACTACACTATACACTAGTGCTTTACGAGTAACAAATTGGCACGTTTTGTTTACGCGACAGACCTTACTGATTGGCTGTGTCGGGTGGTGGCAGGTTTAACAACACATTTATATTTCGATTTAAAGCTTTCGTGACTGCAGGGATTCATCTTCTTGGTTCTTTCGGTAAAGTCACGTAGAAGGGAAATAATAAAATAATAAAAATAAAACATAATAAAATAATTCTCACGACGTTTCGGCCACAACGCAAGCAGCCGTCCTCAGGTGAAGAACAGTTCTGTCAGGAAGACAGCGTCTGAATGAAACACCCCCAGGCTTGGAGCGTATATTTAAGCTGCTGGGTTGGAGGGGGAAGAGCGCCTTGACAAACTAATTTGCATATCAAGAGGAATTTAGCATATTTATGGTAAATGCAGATGTGGGATTAGTACTACTTGTGAAATGCTTAGGTGGGCGGGGGATTTCAAAGTCATATTATGCCCGTGCATTATGCAGTATACGCAGCATCAAAGGGAGGGGATAGGGGTAGCATTAATAAAGGGAAGGAATGTTAATAGTATGTAGCTGCAGTAACTAAACCACCACGTAAAAAACTAAAGTATAAACTACATAGTATCATCAGTATACTAAATATACTCTCCAATAAGCTGAGCGTTACGATGCCACTGTCGTACGCGGACATTTAGACTTTTTAAAATTAACATTATTGTTGTATATCTCCCACAACCCATGACACCACCAGTGTATACAAGTGTAAAGGAGAGCCGACACAAGGTTGCAGGGGGGTTCGTCTTTTATTCCTTTCCTCCCATCCACACCTGTCTCCAGCCATCCCAATCTCCTTCCCGCCAACCCACCCCTCTTCCCGCCCGTTCTCTCCCTTATATCTCCTCACCTGCTCTTCCCCCTTCTCCTGTCACCGTCGCACTCCCCCTTCTATTGGTGGGAATCCTTCCCCTGACACCCCTACAAATGCATCCCAGTTCACCATTGTTAATCACTGCACCCCGATCAATTATACCCCCAGTGTATAAACACATCACAGTTCACCATTGCTAATCACTGCACCCCTATCAATAACACCACCAGTGTATAAACACATCCCATTTCACCATTCATAATCATTGCACCCCTACAATCACACTCCTCTGGGAGGGCGTCAATGTTGGCTCCACACACAAAGTAGTCCAACACCGGTGCAGACACAAAGCCATACAAGAAGGCTGTCTCTGGTGTAAGCCAATCAGTTTCAAAGACAATGCATTTTTATAATCATTATCGTCATCAGAGCGTTTTTCGTGTGCGTGTTTTTCCACAAGGTACTGCCTGTGGTTAAATGCACCGATTCTGTGTTTATGACATCTTAACACCTCCCGTTGTATTGCCAGCTAAGGATAAAAAAAAATCCTTAGCTTTCACACCGGTGGTTATATTCTTTGGGTCTTTCGGTAGAGTCACGTAGATATGTTCAAACAAAAATGGCAACAAAAACTACGACGTTTCGATCGCCACACAATCGGTCAACATCTACCTGATGTGCTGCCATCGAAATGTCGTATTTAAAAAAAAATTATACCGGTGGTTATATTTATAACCCACCCCCCCCCCCAGAGCAAGGGATCTAGGGGGTGGTTAGAAACATAACACATCTCATTTCTCCTGATGACGATCGCTTGCGTTGCGATCAAAACGTCATAGTTTTTTGTTCTTTTCTTTGCATCATTCCACGCGACTTTACCGAAAGACCCAAAGAACATAACAAACCCGTGGCTTCCGGGAGCTGCATCCGGCTCTTTTTAATGCGATCCGACCGCCTCTTGACGGGTCATTTATCAAAAAGGTTGCCACCGTCTCGAAATTCTCACCGCGGAACGCTGCGACTCCTGATAAAAAAATTGGTTGTTTGCAAATTTTTTTGGGGAAAAGAATAACAATCATCATTTGCGTCGCTACTTCTCGACTTGGCTTCGCCGAAGCCTGCCCCGCATTTGAGCCGAGAGCCGTGCACTCCTAAACCACCGAAAAATCGTCACGGGCAAGCAAACGGCGCCCGCCTCTCTCAGGACGCGCCGCTCAGATCCACGATCGTCACGGATGTACAAACCCCCAAGTACAGCCACGGATGCACGGGCTCGACGAAGATTTGGCGAAACGAGTGCAATGGCGCCATAGATTGGGCGTTGTAAAACGACAGCAGCCCCGCGTCCCAGTCCAGGTGAACCCCTACTCTCCGCGGAGGCTCCGGCACCGACAGTGCTGTCACTACCCCGCCGTGCCACGCCGAGAAGCTGCCGTCGACTTTCTGTAGACACCAGGAGCCGTCGCTCCATCCCAGGAAGCAGTCGCCGCCGCCATTTTTTGTTTGTTTGATCGCCGCGTAGGCGACTCCAATCCGGCACGACCCCGAGCGGCTCCCCACGTCCACCTCCCAGTAGTGCTGACCCGACGAGAAGCTCTCCGAGCACAGGACTTGGTGGTAGACGTCGGAGCGGCGCGGGTGATTTGGGCGACCCTGGGAGGCAGCGGTCAGCGTCACCGTCCTGAGATCCGAGGAAATCCGGAGTTTGTCGTGGGCCGAGCTCGGGTCCAGAGTCGGTGAGCGTCCATCTGTGGCGATGACAGAGACAGTGCTCGCATAGCAGTCGCAATGGCGAATGCGTAATCGCTTTTGGGTCAAGCGCTGTTGTTCGCGAGCAGCACCTATGAAGGCCGGTACGGCACACGAGGGGTTGGCTACCAGCACCACGCCCGGTCGCCTTTGTCTCCCCAGTGCTAGAGAGGGGCCCCCAGGAAAGGGGACCTCGGGGTTTGTCGTGTGGAGTGGGATCCCCGTCGTGCTGCCGGAGTCTTCACCGGCTCGGCGTCGCCAGTCAGGCGGTCTACCGGCCGTCCTCGCTGGGAGGCAGTAGTTCATTTAAAGACGAGTTATAAAAGTGTTAACCGTCAGCCCGTGTCAATAAACCAGAGTGTCTCCTTACCCTCAGCGTCTCCGAGTCAGCCACTGAAAACGCGAAGGCAACGGGAATTGCGAAAGTCAAGACGCGCGTCTGAGCTAGCCACGAGGATTGACGAAGACTGAGTTGGGGCGGTTCGCTGTTGTCTCTCTCTCTCTCATCCCTCCTCCACATCTAGGATCAATCTCACGCAGCTCAGAGAGCTACGTAGCTAGCTCGGTGGGCTTGCCCGTTAGAAATAGAATGCAAGTTGATCAAAGAGGGGAGCACAGAAGTGCAGTGCAACTCACAGACGAGAGGCAGGAGTCTGCGCATGGATCTTTCCAGGGAGCTGATCGTGGTGGCGTCCAGGGAAGTGGGAGGTGGAGGTGCAGATTTCTTTAGTATCTTCCTTCTGGGATAGCCACCAACAAACAGCATCACACACAGCCTCGTGTAACCACAGCATCGGAAGACTCAGGATCCATCTCACACACAGTCAGTGTCTCACACACCGCCCGTGTCTCACACACAGCGAGTGTCTCACACACAGCCCGTGTCTCACATACAGCGATTGTCTCACACATAGCCCGTGTCTCACACACAGCCCGTGTCTCACACACAGCCAGTGTCTCACAGCCCTTGTCACACACACAGCCCGTGTCTCACACACAGCACGTGTCTCACACACAGCCGGTGTCTCACACACAGCCCGTGTCTCACACACAGCGAGTGTCTCACACACAGCCCGTGTCTCACACACAGCCCGTGTCTCACACACCGCCGGTGTCTCACACACAGCCCGTGTGTCTAACACAGCCCATGTCTCACACACAGCCCGTGTCTCACACACAGCCCGTGTCTCACACACCGCCGGTGTCTCACACACAGCCCGTGTGTCTAACACAGCCCATGTCTCACACACAGCCCGTGTCTCACACACAGTCCGTGTCTCACACACAGTCAGTGTCTCACACACAGCGAGTGTCTCACACACAGTCAGTGTCTCACACACAGCCCGTGTCTCACACACAGCGAGTGTCTCACACACAGTCAGTGTCTCACACACAGCGAGTGTCTCACACACAGCCCGTGTCTCACACACAGCCCGTGTCTCACACACCGCCGGTGTCTCACACACAACCCGTGTGTCTAACACAGCCCATGTCTCACACACAGCCCGTGTCTCACACACAGCCCGTGTCTCACACACCGCTGGTGTCTCACACACAGCCCGTGTGTCTAACACAGCCCATGTCTCACACACAGCCCGTGTCTCACACACAGTCCGTGTCTCACACACAGTCAGTGTCTCACACACAGCGAGTGTCTCACACACAGCCCGTGTCTCACACACAGCCCGTGTGTCTAACACACAGCCCGTGTCTCACACACCGCCGGTGTCTCACACACAGCCTGTGTCTCACACACAGCCCGTGTCTCACACACAGCCCGTGTGTCTAACACACACATCCTGTGTTTTGAGTGTTTAACTGTTAGACGTCAAGGATCCGTACCTGCGCATCTCCTCCAGGTGTCCCTGTGGAAGAGAGAGAGAGATGAGTGATGTTTCTACCCTGGGACCACGAGCCCCTCTGCTACCGCCCGCTCTGTTATTCTGGACACCCAAGCGGCGTCTGACACACAGAGGCCTGCAGCAAGGTGAGCGAGTCTCTGCCACTGATACTCTTTGGTTTTTTCGGTAAAGTCACGTAGGTAAAAATAAATTAATGAAAAAACAACTAAATTAAATCACGATGTTTCGGAGGCAACACAAGCTTCCGTCTTCAGGTGGAACCGTTGCAGCCAAATTCACTGAAGACGGAAGCTTGTGTTGCCTCCGAAACGTCGTGATTTAATTTAGTTGTTTTTTCATTTATTTATTTTTACCTACGTGACTTTACCGAAAAAACTAAGAATATGAATCCTTGAAGTCACGAAAACTTCAAATCTAGAATCCCTGCCACTGCCCGATCTGTTATTCTGGTCATCCAAACGGCGTCTAACACGGAGGCGCTCCCCACCTGCAGGAAGGTGAGCGAGTCCCTCTCGTTCTGCAGATTTCGCAGGCGAGCGGCCGTCGCCCGGAGCTCGCCGATCTCCCGCTCGTGACGAGCGATGTCCTCGTCGATCCGGGACAGCAGCTCGCGCTCCTTCACGGCCACGCGGCGTAGAGCCTCCGTCTCGTCCTCGTCCAGAGCCTTCCTTAGGCGGGCGAACTTGCCCGTGATGCGACCCCTGATCCCGGCCACCGATTCCTGTGGAGACGCGGGCACCACGATTGGCTCCCTGAGACGTGAGCCACTGCGTCCGTGGCGAGATGTTACCTCCATCGGCTGGTATACAGCAGGTCGTTTCAAGTTTCATTTCAAGTTTCATTCATTAGGTTTTGCCCTCTGAGCTATTCGGCTCTTGAATCGATTGCAACCGCAACAAACAAAAAAACCTAAAACATGAACAAGAAAACATCTTAAAGTGACTATATTTTGTCCCGTGAGGCAACTCGTCTCGCATGTTAAGCGCACATTGTGCTACGTGAGTAAAGTTTACATTTGATAGCATAACGAGCGGATGTTGAAACTCGGGGCCACTCGTGGGTCCGACTCCAGCGACGCGATCAGGGACGACGCGAGATGACATCTGTGCGGGGTTCGTGCCTCTCTCTGTGTCCGTACCGGCGCCCACAGGCAGCTACGCCACAGCTCCACCTCGACAATCCTTGGCACTCCACATTATTTTATTTTTTTTTGCCACAGGAGGTTGCAGACGCGATGCCGAGTCAGCTGACCCCTGCCCCCCCCCCCCCCCACGGCCATCGAATGCGGTAGACGTGCAACCTCCTCGCGGGTAAATGTTGAGTTTGACGGTGAATGATGTAAATCTTCAGTTAAAGCTTTCGTGGCTGCGGGAATTCATACTCTTTGGGTCTTTCGGTGAAGTCACGAAAGACCCTGTAATAAAGGTCGTTGAGGCGACTTCTGGAATCCGTCTTTTATTCAACTTGTATTACAGCTTTCCTTCACACTGCTGGCAGGCAGCGTGAGAGGGATAGAGAGAGAGAGAGACGCACTGCCACGTGGCAACCCGGAGCCCCGCTCCCGCGTGGCCCCCTTCCTCTGTTCGTTCCCGTTCTGACCACGTGTCGTTCGTCTCCACCCCTATTTAATACCCGGGTCACGTGGTACCTTTCCACCAATCCTACTTAGCCTCCGTGGAATATTCCAGGCTCCCTCGTAAGCTCCCGGGACCACGCCCCTGACTCGTCTCCTCATTGGCTGTGGCCAAAGCCAGCAGAACCAATCATATCCTTTCAGCTGTCACCTTTCCATTACGTCAGGGCCACGCCCCTAGGCTTCCCCCACATTGGCTATAAACCAGGACCGGCAGAGCCAATCATCGTGACGTGTTGTGATACGTCAGTGAGCCGGATTTATCCTCACATTACAACCCAAAGACGGTGAATGGCGTAGTCAAGAGGCATCAAAGCCGTGAGGCCGCACGAAGAATTCTCGAAAATGTGTTTCGACCACCGCGACTTCGGCGCTGGGTGGAGGTCACGGGGAAGGGGACCAACGGAGCCGGGCACGGACAACGCTACCTGAGCCTTCCTGCGAGCGGCCTCCATCTGCTTGACGGACCCCTCCACCTCCTTCCTCCTCTCGTCCACTGCTCGCGTCTCCCGTGCTACGCGCGTCTATAGATTTAGAAACGAGACATTGCCAGCGGGGGGGGGGGGGGGGGTGAGACTCCGGTCCTTCATGGGTGATGCCACCCCTCACGCCCGGTCCGTCACCTCCACACGAGTGGTTCTTAACCTTCGATTTAAAGCTTTCGTGACTGCAGGGATTCATCTTCTTGGTTCTTTCGGTAAAGTCACGTAGAAGGGAAGTAATAAAATAATAAAAATAAAACATAATAAAATAAAATATATTATTATATTATTTTATTATGTTTTATTTTTATTATTTTATTACTTCCCTTCTACGTGACTTTACCGAAAGAACCAAGAAGATGGTTCTTAACCTGTGTGTGTGTGTCATTAGAGCCGCCACCACCTGGCACAGCCAACTAGTAAGGGTTGTCACGTGAACAGAACATGCCAATTCATGACTAGTACAGTGTAGTAGTGTAGTGTATAGCTTATCAATTGAAAATTCACAGCAGCAAAATAAATCCGTCTGTGTTGGAGAGTAAACCCCACTGACACAGTCACAATTCTGGCGAATTGCCCGATGATGCTGGATGCAATAACCAGCGAAACGTCGTACTACTCAAATTGTTAATGTTGTGGTTTCACGCTTCAACACACCGGTGGGCTAAAGCAGTGAACTATTTGTCTTTTGTCAACGTGAAACTTTTTTACTGATTGGCCGTGTCGTGTGGTGGAGGGTTACGACAAATTTATAAATAACGCGATCTAAACCCAAAAACGTTGATTATGAACAATTCGAGTACCGTTTCGTCGCGTCGGTAATTACAACAACAGCAGCAGCAACCAACATCATCAGGCGACAAGCCAAGGCCGGCACCACCTTTTCGTCGACGTTACAAACCCCTTACAGATTGGCCGTGTACGGTGGTGGCGGTGTTCAACGACGCACCTTCATATTTGCGCGATCTAACCAGAATGAAACAAACCTACGGGTTCTAGATTTGAAGCTTTCGTGACTGCAAGGATTCATATTCTTGGGTTTTTTCGGTAAAGTCACCGTGTAGGTAAAAAATTAAAATTGAAATAAAATAAAAATCACGACGTGACTTTAACGAAAAAACCCAAGAATATGAATCGTTGCAGTCACGAAAACTTCAAATCTAGAATCAATACCCTCTACGGGGAGGAATTCCACCTGTCTGTTAGAGTTTTTAACAGACAACGAGACAAGAAGTCACACAGCTTCTCGAGACGCTGGCCTTCCTCAAGAGATGCCGAGATAACAAGGTCATACCCATCGCTTTCACACTCACATCTACAAGGACTGTTTTCTTGGAATTTCTCATTTACTTGATACAGCGATCGTGCTGTGACGGTTCCACCTGAAGACGGAGGCTTGTGTTGCCTCCAAAACGTCGTGATTTTTATTCTATTTTTATTTTTTACCTACGTGACTTTACCGAAAAAACCCAAGAATATGAAACCTATGGGTAGCATCGGTGGCGGGAGCCTTACTACCGGAGTGACGAGCGGGCACAGAGGTCCTCAACGAGAGGAGTCTTGATTTCTGGCAAGCGCGAGAGACACGCGGGGTCTTCAAGGATTCCCTTCCCTCCAAGCGTGCCGAACCCTCTCTCGCATCCCCCCCCCCCCCATCTCATATATCCCTCAAGGCCCCCCCCCCCCCCTTTATCTTCTTGGTTCTTTCGGTAAAGTCACGTAGAAGCGAAATATTATTATTTTATTATTTCCCTTCTACGTGACTTTACCGAAAGAACCAAAAATACAACCATTCGAAGTTGCATTTTTCGATAACGGATTTCTTTTCATGCCGACGTTTGGCGTTTCGACATCACAGAGTGCCACCGATTTCGGATTGATCGATACACCCCCCGGAAAAAAAACCAGTGACCCCAGAAATAAAATATTCAATTGCCTCGGCCATTTTGTATTATTCGATACCCCGGGCAGGGGGTGGGGGTCCAATCCCGTAAGGTTCCTTTGCAGTGGCGGCTCCTGCAAAATCTCTCAGGGGGGGCAAATGTCTGGATGATTGATAAGGATAAGGTCCACCCATGCAATAGATAAATTAACAGCTTAAGCATGTAAAGGCAACTTCACTTCTTTAATATTAATGAAAAATAAAGTGACTCTCACAATACATCTCCTTGTTTGTTTCTATACTCACTATTATTACAATCCACTCAATTTCTTTTATTAAAGATTCCACTAGGTGGCGACAAATAATATTGTTGACTGAAACGTGCTTACGTATGATGATGTAAGCACGTATGATGACGTAAGCACGTTAAGGCGAGCCCTCCCGGAAGCCGTAGATAATGCATTGCAGCGCCCCCCGTTCGAAAAAAAACATCTTTGAATGTAAGTCTATGGGAAAACTCGGGGCGATTCTCAGCTGGAGGGAAATCGCCCAAAAAGAGGCGGTACTCCACAGAACGTGACATGACGCTGATTGGACTATATCCAGAGGCACAGTGACGGCTCGCGTCACTCTGTGGTTGAATGACATTGGTGGTGCGTCGCCCAATCGCCCTAATGAAGAAACCGCCCCTGCACTACACTACTATACACTATATCACTACTACACTATACACTACATTATACACTACATTTATACACTACACTATACACTCCACTACTATACACTACACTATACACTACACTATACACTACACTATACACTACACTTATACACTACACTATACACTACACTATACACTACATTATACACTACATTATACACTACACTATACACTCCACTACTATACACTACACTATACACTACACTATACACTACACTTATACACTACACTATACACTACACTATACACCACTACATTATACACTACATTATACACTACATTATACACCACTACATTATACACTACATTATACACTACACCACTACACTACTACATTATACACTACACTATACACTACACTATACACTACACTTATACACTACACTATACACCACTACACTACACTATACACTACACTATACACTACACGCTCACCTTCCGCTCCTCGTGCGCGTCCTCGACGCTGCTCAACTCGTGACCCACGTGCTCCCCGACGATGGCGCAGCTGGTGCAGACCAGCCTCTTGTCCCGCGCGCAGTAGAACTCGAGCAGCTTCCCGTGCCTCGGGCACTTGCGCACCTGCGCGCCGACTCCCGGCTCGACCAGCGAGTGGCCCTTGAACTTCGCGTTCTGCAGGTGACGCCTGCAGTGGGACTCACAGAGGGACGTCTCGCACGTCACGCAGATCCTCACGGCAGGGACGTCGCCATCCAGGCAGCTGTCGCAGGACAACCGCGGAGACGTCGTTTTCTCCTCCACGGCTTCCCCCTCGCCACCGCCCCCAATGCTGAGCTCCTCCACGAGATTGGCGAGCGTCACGTTCTTGCTCAGCCGCGGCTTCTGCTGGAACTCGTCTCGGCACTGGGGGCAGAAGTAGCACCCGGCCGCCTGCCACGCGGCCTCCAGGCAGCGCAGGCAGAACGAGTGGCCGCAGCTCAGCGTGGAGGGGCAGTCGAACGCCTCCAGGCAGATGGAGCAGCTGAGCTCCTCGGACACAGCAGCAGGAGCGGCTGCGGTGGCCATGGCTGTGAATGAGTGTTTCAGTGAGTGAGTCAGTGAGTGTTTCAGTGAGTGTTTCAGTGAGTCAGTGAGTGTCTCAGTGAGTGTCTCAGTGTCTCAGTGACTGTCTCAGTGAGTCAGTGAGTGTTTCAGTGAGTGTTTCAGTGAGTGTCTTAGTGAGTCAGTGAGTGTCTTAGTGAGTCAGTGAGCGTCACAGTGAGTCAGTGAGTGTCTCAGTGAGTGTCTCAGTGAGTGTTTCAGTGAGTCAGTGAGTCAGTGAGTGTCTAAGTGAACGAGTCAGTGAGTGTTTCAGTGAGTGTCTCAGTGAGTGTCTCAGCGAGTCAGTGAATGTATCAGTGAGTGTCGCAGTGAGTGTCTCAGTGAGTCAGTGAGTGTCTCTGAGTGTCTCAGTGTCTCAGTGACTCAGTGAGTGTCTCAGTGAGTGTCTCAGTGAGTCAGTGAGTGTCTCAGTGAGTGTCTCAGTGTCTCAGTGACTGTCTCAGTGAGTCAGTGAGTGTTTCAGTGAGTGCCGCAGTGAGTGAGTCAGTGAGTGTCTCGGTGAGTGTCTCAGTGAGTGTTTCAGTGAGTGTCTTAGTGAGTGTCTCAGTGAGTGTTTCAGTGAGTGTTTCAGTGTCTCAGTGAGTGTCTCAGTGAGTCAGTGAGTGTCTCAGTGAGTAAGTGAGTGTTTCAGTGTCTAAGTGAGTGTCTTAGTGAGTGTTTCAGTGAGTGTTTCAGTGAGTGTCTCAGTGAGTCAGTGAGTGTCTCAGTGAGTGTCTCAGTGTCTCAGTGACTGTCTCAGTGAGTCAGTGAGTGTTTCAGTGAGTGCCGCAGTGAGTGAGTCAGTGAGTGTCTCGGTGAGTGTCTCAGTGAGTGTTTCAGTGAGTGTCTTAGTGAGTGTCTCAGTGAGTGTTTCAGTGAGTGTTTCAGTGTCTCAGTGAGTGTCTCAGTGAGTCAGTGAGTGTCTCAGTGAGTAAGTGAGTGTTTCAGTGTCTAAGTGAGTGTCTTAGTGAGTGTTTCAGTGAGTGTTTCAGTGAGTGTCTCAGTGAGTCAGTGAGTGTCTCAGTGAGTCAGTGAGTGTCTCAGTGACTCAGTGAGTGTCTCAATGAGTGTTTCAGTGAGTCAGTGAGTCAGTGAGTGTCTAAGTGAACGAGTCAGTGAGTGTTTCAGTGAGTGTCTCAGTGAGTGTCTCAGCGAGTCAGTGAATGTATCAGTGAGTGTCGCAGTGAGTGTCTCAGTGAGTCAGTGAGTGTCTCTGAGTGTCTCAGTGTCTCAGTGACTCAGTGAGTGTCTCAGTGAGTGTCTCAGTGAGTCAGTGAGTGTCTCAGTGAGTGTCTCAGTGTCTCAGTGACTGTCTCAGTGAGTCAGTGAGTGTTTCAGTGAGTGCCGCAGTGAGTGAGTCAGTGAGTGTCTCGGTGAGTGTCTCAGTGAGTGTTTCAGTGAGTGTCTTAGTGAGTGTCTCAGTGAGTGTTTCAGTGAGTGTTTCAGTGTCTCAGTGAGTGTCTCAGTGAGTCAGTGAGTGTCTCAGTGAGTAAGTGAGTGTTTCAGTGTCTAAGTGAGTGTCTTAGTGAGTGTTTCAGTGAGTGTTTCAGTGAGTGTCTCAGTGAGTCAGTGAGTGTCTCAGTGAGTGTCTCAGTGTCTCAGTGATTGTCTCAGTGAGTCAGTGAGTGTTTCAGTGAGTGTCGCAGTGAGTGAGTCAGTGAGTGTCTCGGTGAGTGTCTCAGTGAGTGTTTCAGTGAGTGTCTTAGTGAGTGTCTCAGTGAGTGTTTCAGTGAGTGTTTCAGTGTCTCAGTGAGTGTCTCAGTGAGTCAGTGAGTGTCTCAGTGAGTAAGTGAGTGTTTCAGTGTCTAAGTGAGTGTCTTAGTGAGTGTTTCAGTGAGTGTTTCAGTGAGTGTATCAGTGAGTCAGTGAGTGTCTCAGTGAGTCAGTGAGTGTCTCAGTGACTCAGTGAGTGTCTCAGTGAGTGTTTCAGTGAGTGTCTCAGTGAGTCAGTGAGTGTCTAAGTGAACGAGTCAGTGAGTGTTTCAGTGAGTGTCTCAGTGAGTGTCTCAGCGAGTCATTGAATGTATCAGTGAGTGTCGCAGTGAGTGTCTCAGTGAGTCAGTGAGTGTCTCTGAGTGTCTCAGTGTCTCAGTGAGTCAGTGAGTGTCTCAGTGAGTGTCTCAGTGAGTGTCTCAGTGAGTGTTTCAGTGTCCCAGTGAGTGGCTCAGTATTTCAGCGAGTGTCTCGGTGAGTGTCTCAATGAGTGTCTCAGTGAGCGAGTCAGTGAGTGTCTCAGTGTCTCAATGAGTGTCTCAGTGAGCGAGTCAGTGAGTGTCTCAGTGTCTCAGTGAGTGTCTCAGTGAGCGAGTCAGTGAGTGTCTCAGTGAGTGTCTGAGCGAGTCAGTGAGTGTCTCAGTGTCTCAGTGAGTGTCTGAGCGAGTCAGTGAGTGTCTCAGTGAGTCAGTGAGTGTCTCAGTGAGCGAGTCAGCGAGTCAGTGAGTGTCTCAGTGAGTGTCTCAGTGAGTGTCTGAGCGAGTCAGTGAGTGTCTCGGTGAGTGTCTCAGTGAGTCAGTGAGTGTTTTAACGAGTCAGTGAGTGTCTCGGTGAGTGTGTGGCGGAGCACAGAGTGCCTCACGATCCGCACTCACGACGAAAGTGAAACTCGCACAGCCCCCGACGCGACCTGGATTAGACGTTGACGCCACCCCCCTTCCAGGAAGGGCCTCGTCACCAATTTGAATTCACCCCCAGCTCCGGTTCGCGTGAGTTGTTTCTGTTTAAGTTGCAGTCGATTTGTGATGTCGTTCAAGGCCGTAGCCATGCAGTCAACATTGGGGGGGGGGGGGGGGACAAAATCTTCCAGTGTGTCTGGGGGTCCCAACCCAGAACAAGTATAACCCGTAAAAACAAAGTTTTTCACTATAAATCCTTTATATGCGTGGCGGCTAGAGTCCTCTCGTCCTCTGGCTTGAGATGGCTGCCACCTATGGGTCAGATGATTGTCTGCAGTATTAAGCAATTGGTAATTAAATATTTAATTTGTTTTCCCTAAAAAGTGTAAAATTTTGGAACAAAAATTTCACGAACATTAATTGTTTGGCACAACGAGTCTGTGTGCAAAATGTCAGCTCGATTGGATCACGGGAAGTGGGTTAAAAAACGACCGAAATATTTGCACGGTCCTAAGCAAGCAAGCAAGCGAACTTAATATAAAGGATTTAAAAATATCAACATTTTAAAACTTGATAATTGGTTCTTTACCCTTCTATCTGGCAACAAAACTGACACCTTTTTACAAGGAGTCATGTTGGCATAGACCGCAATACCTGCAGTCATAATACAAACAAAAGAACATAACTCTGATAATGTGCACTGTCCTTGAAGTTGATTGGTCCACACCCGAGACAATCAACTTCAAGGACAGTGCACATTATCAGAGTAATGTCTTTTGTTTGTATTATGACTGCAGCTATTGCAGTCTATGCAAACATGACTCCTTGCAAAAAGGTGTCAGTTTTGTTGCCAGATAGAAGGGTAAAGAACCAATTATCATATTTTTACTGGCAAATGAGGTTCCCATAGTGTAGATTTTAAAACTTATTTCCTGCCATTTTCTGCCTAAAATATAAAAAAATTGACGAACACGTGGACTGGACTTTTTACTATATTTCTACAATAATGTCTAACAGTGTATTGTGTTACATAGCTCTGTTTTTACTTTTTTAAAACATTTCTTGTTGCATTGTGTGTAATGGCAGAGATTAGGGATTAGTCAAGTACAACCATAACCACAATCGTATAAACAGAAATCTACGCGTTGATTTGTATAAAGACAAGTCCAGATATTGTGGCCAAGGTTTAGCAAATTGTTGTTTTATTTACATGGCAGAGCTATTGTTTTTATAGCAATATGTTGGGAGGGACATTTTGAGCTTATTTGTTATAGTTACGGCCTTGCAACACAGAGACACACAGAGAGAGACACCGAGAGAGACACACAACATAGACACACAGAGAGAGACACGCACATAGACACACAGAGAGAGACACGGAGACACACAGAGAGACACACAGAGACACACAGAGAGAGACACACAGAGACACACAGAGAGACACACACAGAGAGACACACAGAGAGAGACACACAGAGAGAGACAACACAGACACACACACAGAGACACACAGAGACACACAGAGAGACACACACAGAGAGAGACACACACAGACACACACACACAGAGACACACCGAGAGAGACACACAACATAGACACACAGAGAGAGACAACACAGAGACACACCGAGAGAGACACACAACATAGACACACCGAGAGAGACACGCACATAGACACACAGAGAGAGACACAGAGACACACAGAGAGACACACAGAGACACACCGAGAGAGACACACAGAGACACACCGAGAGAGACACACAACATAGACACACAGAGAGAGACACGCACATAGACACACAGAGAGAGGCAACACAGAGACACACAGAGAGAGACAACACAGAGACACACCGAGAGAGACACACAACATGGACACACAGAGAGAGACAACACAGAGACACACAGAGAGAGACAACACAGAGACACACCGAGAGAGACACACAACATAGACACACAGAGAGAGACACACAACATAGACACACAGAGAGAGACACAAAAACACACAGAGAGACACACAGAGAGAGACACACACAGACACACACAGAGACACACAGAGAGAGACACACAGAGACACACAGAGAGAGACACACACAAAGAAACACAGAAAGAGACAACACAGAGACACACACAGAGAGACACACAGAGACACAGAAAGAGAGACACAGAGAGAGAGACACACAGAGAGAGACACCGAGAGAGAGAGAAAACACACACTTCAATCAAACTCTGGATTCACATCACGACAATTCGCTGATTTGTCCACCAGGTGGCAGACAGAGCTCGAGTTTGAGGCTGGGTTGGTACTGACCTGATACTCTCATGCAGAGAGACACACACAAAGACACACACACACAGAGACACACAACATAGACACACAGAGAGATACAACACAGAGAGACACACACAGAGAGACACACAGAGAGACACACAGAGACACACACACAGAGACACACACAGAGAGAGACACACAGAGAGAGACACATACAGAGACACACAGAGATAGACACACAGAGAGAGACACCAAGAGAGAGAGAAAACACACACTTCAATCAAACTCTGGATTCAGATCAAGACAATTCGCTGATTTGTCCACCAGGTGGCAGACGGAGCTCGAGTTTGAGGCTGGGTTGGTTACTGACCTGAGAGTCTCATGCAGGGGATCCTGAAAAACACAAAACCCGCGTTTCACATTAACATTGGCATCCTAAACAGATGACCTACATCCACACAGTCACCTCCTGTTTACGGTAGAGCCTGACATCAAGGAATGAACAAATACCTACAATTCTAGATTTCAAGCTTTCGTGACTGCAAGGATTCATATTCTTGGGTTTTTTCGGTAAAGTCACGGAGGTGAAAATTTTTAATTAATAAAAGTAAAATGACCGAAAAAACCCAAGAATATAAATACCTACAAACGGAGAATGGTGCACAAACAGGGTTATCTATTCTTTGGATCTTTCGGTTAAGTCACGTCTAAGATTGAGGGTTATCTATGGAACCTAATTGCCAAAATCGAAATTATGAACAAATTAAGAAGAGGCTTTGGGGCCGTCCATAAATGACGTCACGCGATATTTGGACGATTTTTGACCCCCCCCCCTCCCCTTCGTCACACCGCCTCACAATAAAATAGACCTCCCCCCTCAAATATGACGTCACAAAGCTCTGCCCCCCCCCCCCCCAAAAAAAAAAACATGCTTCAAATCGCTTTAAAGTATTGTCATTGTAGTGCGTATTCAATGTGCCGCTGCACTCTGATGTTGTCGGAAAAAACATTTATTAAAAAGTCAATTTAATTAAGTAGAACGTGTTGTCTGTATTTATTTAAAGTTGCGCATTTTGATGTGACGTCACGTTTCTCAAACCCCCCCCCCTCGTCACACATCGTCACAAATGTCTGACCCCCCCTCCTAGGTGCGTGACGTCATTTATGGACGGCCCTTTTATCCTTTTTGGAAGTTAAAATCGGAGATGTTTAGATGTTCAAATACCAAACAGATACCTATTGCAAGGCATCACTGCTCAATCTGAGCTATTCCTTCTTTCAAACTTGCATTGCCTTGGTACTGTTAGGCCTATTCCTATTTCGATTTAAAGCTTTCGTGACTGCAGCATGGATTCATCTTCTTGGTTCTTTCGGTAAAGTCATCACGTTGAAGGGAAGTAATAAAATAATAAAAATAAAACAAAATAAAATAATTCTCACGACGTTTCGGCCACAACGCAAGCAGCCGTCCTCAGGTGAAGAACAGGTCTTTTAGACGCTGTCTTATCGACAGACCTGTTCTTCACCTGAGGACGGCTGCTTGCGTTGTGGCCGAAACGTCGTGAGAATTATTTAATTTTGTTTTATTTTTATTATTTTATTACTTCCCTTCTACGTGATGACTTTACCGAAAGAACCAAGAAGACCTATTCCTATTTTATATTTATCACAAACAGGGCTCGTTTAACTGGACACGGACAGACCCCAACAGGTGACAAAGCCACTGTCTGCACGTCTAGCAGCTAAACAAATGGTTCACTAGCTCGTCTCAGTGCTCTCAACTGGCTCCCCATCGCCAGTAGGGTCACATACAAGACCGCCTCTGCCACAAAGCCTTCACATCTGCCTGCCCTCCGTATCTTTCTTCATTATTGACAACTTTCAGCACACGGCAGATGCCTTGCCCAGCGCCACTCACGACCTCCTCTTGATACCAAGATCCAGGATGGTCATCGCGTCTATGTGCCGCTTCTCGGTGGCAGCCCCAACAGTCTGGAACGATATCCCTCTGCACATTCGCAGCATCACCTCAATCGCCTCCTTCAAGAGACACTTACTAACTCACCTCTACAACCCACGTGCTTTTGAGCGACTCTGAGCTTGGCTCTCCGCGCCTCTGAGCTGCGGTCACTACGTCTGCAAATTTGCGCTCGTTACAAATTGAACTATTATTATTATTGCGTGATCTTCCTTCATAATCTTCAACAACTCCTGTTTTTTGAACTCTGAATAAACTCAGCTTTGTATTTGACCAGGTAAGTAGCGAGCTGATGTTTTACCTACACGGTGACTTTACCGAAAACACCTAAGAATATGATTCCTTGCAGTCACGAAAGCTTCAAGTCTAGAATTAAGTAGCGAGCTGCCTGTCGCAAACGACGGCTCATGTGGACATTCATAACAGCGGCCAAGATACTCTGAATGCGTGCTGACTTTTATTCTAAATGTGGAGGTTGAAAACCCAGAGGAGGCGGAGAAAAATCGACGCGATCACAGAGACAGAGAGAGACGCAGACTCAAAATATACAGCAGGCATCGTCAGGGTTGGTATCGAACACACGACCTCCTGTAGACCAGGCGAGGTAGTCAACATCTCCCAGGGTCACGGGATGGAACCCACGACCTCCTGTAGACCAGGCGAGGTAGTCAACATCTCACAGGGTCACGGGATGGAACCCACGACCTC